GAGTTCAAGGAACCAAGATTAAGAAAGAGAAAGAGGCTAACCATCGATGAAGGTCCAGATGAAGTTGAATCAATGGGCACAGCAACAAACTGCTATGCAATCGATCTTACAAGACCACGCTGGACCTAGCAGTTGCCAAGATTGATCGCTAATTTTCAAAAAACGCAGATCTTTAAAAAGATTTGGCTTTCCTTGAACCCTTGCAAGAGCAACTGAGAAAGGACGCGAAACTGTTAAGCAAGATTGCAAAGATGTCTGAAGTAAGCTTGGAGCAGCTGCGGGAAGAATTGCAGTCTTTCTCTCAAGTTTACAAAGAAATAAGCTCAGCGGCAATGATCAAAATGGCAACAAGCATCCCCAAAGTTGAAAGTTTTGAGAAATACATAGAGATCTCGGAACAGATAAAAAGAGGAAGAATTCGTTGCAGAAGTTCCACCTGACACCACAGCTCTTGTTAGCACAGAACAGTTGTCCCATGCCTTAAAAGAAATGAGCCTTGTAGAGTCTGCATCCCCTGTGCATTCAAGACTTGGCATGTGTACAACATGCATGCCTCGTCGTATCCTGCTCTCTACGTTGCTTATAAAGTTGTTATGACGCTGAACTGCACGCAAGTTTCATGTGAACGAATGTTCAGTAAATTAAAGCTTATAAAGAGTAGACTTAGAGCAACCATTGGTCAGCCACACCTTGAATCACTGATGATTATTTCAAGTGAAGAGAAAACTTCCGGTTAGACTGTGAACACATAATAAATCAGTACGTGTGCTTTTCGCCGGCGCTTCAAAGAGACTTCAAGGAACATCGTTTAATTGATTTTATTTAGAGCAAGAACTTTTCATTTTGTTTTGTTGAAGTATTGTTAAATCAGTTACGATTCTTTAGAATGTAGGTAGGACTGCAAAACAAACTGATCTTATACGACAAACTCATAGTATTGGTTGACTGTTGCATTGCTAGACTATGACTATATTGCCCCCACTTTGCCGCTTAGCCCATACGCCCAAAATTGCTTTAAACCTGAACTGAGCTTTCACTTCGTTCAATTCAAGTTTCTAGCAGAATGAGTTGCTTGTGGTGATATAATTAAATCTAATGAATTGTTTTGAGGTATGGCTAGTAACTTTTAGGTTTGTAACTCGGATAGTACGGGCCCCTTTTCTGAATATAGCAACCCGAGAGATTTGCTGCCAGTCCGCCTCTGCATACACCTAATGTGAAACAGACCCACAAAAATTTTAAGAGAAAACGAAGAGGAGTAGGACTTGGCATTAATTTCAAAGTCTAAAGCCCTGGCAAAACGACTAAACATTTCGCTAAACATTTCACTCAACTTTTGTTTAGTGAAGTTGAGCGAAGTTTAGCGAGGGTGGCAAAACGTGACTAAACTTTTCACTAAACTCCACTCAATCGTTTTGAACAGCGAGCTAGCTACGACGCTGTTGGGTTGTAGGGGATCTTGCATAGAAATTTGCTTTGGTTTATTTTGTTGCATGCACAAGCAGTGGATGAAAATAAGAATCGGGTGAAGCGACGGGGAGACAGTAGTAACAAGAAGAAAATAAACAAAAAGGTAGGAAATGAAAATAAAACTATGTTTCAACTAACCTAATATTAAGGCCCCGGGGTGCGAAAGTTTCTAACTTATACTGCCAGAAACTTTCACGTATCCTACCATTCCCATTATGTCTATCTATAATAGTTACTTTAATATCTTCGAGAAACCCATGATGATCCTTCCCTGCAAAATGCCGGAAAAAATCAGCCTGAGGTATACCCGAAGAGCCCCCGATAAACTTACGATTGCACGCCTTATGGTTATTAAACCTAAGCCTAAAAGGCGTGCAAGTGCTACCCACATACTGTACACCACATACTTCAAATTCCATAAGATACACAACATTGGACGAATCACAATTAAACGAAAAATTTATCTTATATTCCTTATCAGTTATATGGGAAGTAAAAGTATCACTGTCACACATAACATTACAACTTGACATCGAGACTTGCCACATGGAGTACAACCCCTATTATGCGTGGTCCCTGCCCCCTCATTATAAAGTTTCGCCCTAACTAGTAAATCTTTAAGGTTCTTGTAATCTGTCTGTCTGTCTGATTATAGTCTGTCTGATGAGTGCGCAAGCACGAAACTCGGAGTAACAGAGAACATGTCTCATTTCTAGTCTATATTATATTTTCTATTATATCTATTGCTTTGTGCTTTTGCACATCGAGCACTGTCACGTCAAAATAGACAACGCAATCTTGAATATATATATATGTATATATATGATACTTCCGTAGCACGAAACCATGTAGTTTTACTTTCTTCAACTCTATGATATATCACGCTCTACGTGCTAACGTATTGAGCACTGTGCTACGGAAGTATCAAAAACAAATTTCTATATATGAGTATTATATATATATGTATATATATTTATTTATATATTGTATTAATTATCATATTGCTGTCTAGAGTGCTCAATTTATCGGAGCAATTAGATAGACTAAAATAAACAGACTATTGTGACACAACTCTGAGTTTCATGTGTAAACAATCATCAGGTGTCTAAAAGAACACAAATTAACGGCAAGCAAGATAGAACGGTAAAAACGAATAATCGAACACAATCAAACGAAGTTAATTGTGTAGAGTGCTTAATCGTAAAAACTACATTCTAAGATCGAAAATTGCTAATCAAAAGTTTGTTCTTGTTGCCTTAAAAATTCTGTTCTATTATCAAGTATTTTATTGTCCCCAAAGAATTTACAATCGACTATTCAAAGAAGAACATGACTATCGCAAGTTAGAATGAGTATACCATTCAACTAATATCAAAGGTAGAAAGTGTAATATCGAATTCAGAAGCGTAAATAGCCCTTTTCAAACCAAAATGAAAAATGACATCAAAGAAATAAAAAACAGCCAGAAGATATTTGTATCAGCTGACAAGTCAAGAAATATATACAAACTCGAACCGGAGAATTACATGGAACTATTGAAAGAAAATGTCACCAAAGATTACAAGAAATCAGATGTTATGAAAGTACATAAAATCAATCGCGATATCAAACAAATTGCATCAGATTTATCGATCGAAGAAAGAGTAGAATGTTTACAAGAGAAAGAAGCCTATATCACCATCAAAGATCACAAAGAAAACTTCCCCAACAAAGGTATCATGCAGACTTAAAATATATATATATAATCATAAGGCAAATGCTGGCAGGAGGAAAATTCTTTCCACAAGGGTGCTGCCCAATTGTATCGAACTACTCTTGGTCGGAATCGAACTCCAGTTTGCTGCGTCGAAAACTCCCGCTCATTTATTTAGATCCTCAAGAAAAACACTCTCATGTAAACGTTTCGACCGAAGTCTTCATCAGTTTATCTATATTATTTTTATTACACTTGGAGTTAGAGCTTTTGACAGTATAAATATATATATATATATATATATTTATATATACACACATATAGGTTGTCTTCCTATGAAAAGGTCTTTGATAACTACATTCCTGATGACGCCTTTTCAATTAGGCCCAATTCTAAATGTAGCCCTATATTTCACGACTCCAAATCTCGAAGAAGCTTTATCTGACCAGTTTCTAGACAAAATCAATTTCAGAAACTGGATATGTAATTTCACGCATGCCATTTTAGCTATGTCTAGAAATTATTAATAAGATATTAGAAATTCATAATAGATTCGAAACTAGAAGAGATTTTGTCTATTGACAGATACTTAATCGAAATAACAGCTCTTCTTCCGGTTACGCAGTAGAGGAATGGGTCATCGTCGAATCTTGGAAGAAATATGGACCAAGATTCGCGCACATCCGTTCAACCGCACTCATTCCACCAAATATAGTCAGAAACAACATAACAAAAGAAACTAATTTTTTCATCTCGAATTTCCAGTCCAGCGCTTTTTCTATTAGACTTCTCATATGAAACTTCAAATGAACCAGAATTGATCCAGCTATCAAAGTCGACTTCAATATGGAAACCAAAGAAATTGATATAAATCTCCAAATAGAAAGAATCGGCTTCGGAAAGTTCCAAATTATTGTTTTAGCTATAGTGTTGCTGAGGCAATTTTCATATTCATCTACAGCCAGTCTTCTCGTCATATTGGAGCCCTATCTTCGTTGCTATTGGAAATTGAGTTACATGACAGCAGCATGGCTTGTCTTGCCTGAAGCTATCACTAAAATAGTTGGATCGATTTTACTTGGCAAAATGTCAGATCGGTATGGAAGGCGCAAGACGATGATACTTGCTTTCGTTTTCAATTCATATTTGACTCTCCTTTTTTCGCTATCCACCAGCACAGTTCTGTTGTCAATAATACGAGGGGTTATTGGACTCGTCTCGTCAAGCACCATGATAGCATTTACCTATGCAATGGAAATTCTGCCAATATCAAAACGAAAATACATGTCTATTTTTGCTGCAGGGTTTTTTGCAGGATGTGGGTATGGCATTTTAGTTGCTATGGTTTCGCTGGAGTATCTATCATGGCGATGGTTCGACGCTTTTGCAGAGACCATTCCGATAACGTTAGCGGCACTTGCAGTGCTATTTCTGCCGGAATCTCCACGATATTTGATGGCCGTTGGAAAAACGGATGAGGCAAAAGAGACTCTCCAAAGAATTGCTAAAAGGAACGGAGCACTGGATAGATTTTCGGCATTTCCTTCGTATGAATCTACTAATGCTGTGACAATAAAACATTTTAAAACGAATGTTGATGAGCGACAGCAGCAATCAAAATACGAAATGGCAAAAAGGATTGTTGTAGTAGCTTTTTTGCAATTTTATGGCGATATTGTCTCTGCAACAGTACGTTTTGGCTCAATGCAGTTCGGGGAGAATTCTGATGTTTCCAAGAGCGGAAAATGTTCCGAGAATTTGACATACAAATATCGATGGGCGGTAGAAACCGCTGGTTTTTTCGCTGTTTTCACTTCTTACTCGCTATTAGGCAAAGTTAGCAGAGGGCTTACAATGAAAATCTTGGTAGTTTTTCTAGGTGCTTGTCTTATACCATTTTATTGGCCTTTACGTGGATGGCCTTTGCTCGTTGCAATCGCTCTCACTGAATTCGGGGCTGCAACGCTGATTAATATTATATTAGTCTATAGAGCCGAACTACTTCCTACGTCGATAAGAACAAGCGGGTGCGGTATTTCTGATGCTTTTGGTCAGTTCGGTATTTTGTGTGGCCAGTTTATTGCTATATATCTTCATCACATTAGTATAAGTCTTTCTTTTGGCATTTTACATGGTTTCACCGCAGTAGGTATTTTTATTGTATTTTATGGTATCACAGAGACAAAGCATCAGCTATTGTTTCTATGATACCAGTCAGGCATACAAACTTTGTACTGATTCATATATGTCCCACTAATGCATATTCATATATTTAGAAGTCTTATGATGGCCTATTTCTTGGTTGTTGCAGATCCAACTTTCTACATTTCGGAAAACATTTTTTAAATGTTACTCGATTACCACTAGAAACCTGGCGCGAATAACACAATGCCCCCTTTAGCTATTTGCAAGTGCCGTTTTAGGAGAAGTATATGTACCCTTGTAGGACTTTATTGTCACAGTGTCTCGTTTGCCTGTGCAAATTAGTTGGCAAGTAAAATGGAGAGCCAAAGCAGTTTTCAAAATGAATTTCACAAAAACTACTTAATGAAGCGTTTATGAAGCCGTTTCCGATTCAAGTTTTTGTCACAAAAGATCTCAAGATACTTGCTTGATACTTGTTTTTTTTGCATAATAGACTCGTCATTCATTGCCAAGGTCGGTTTATTGAAAGGAAAGGGGAGATATGAGGCCAAAGTACTCACTCAACATAAAAAGTTAATCCATTTGCGGCCTTTTAGTCTGAAACTGTAACTTGTTCATTGTTGTTGTGAAGTTAAGTTTTGGTATCCCTCGCGTGCAAGAGAAAAGTAGCACGTGGTAAGTGCAAAGGTCATTATGCCATATAAGGTTATAACGGAAACACACACATGGGTGTAGTATGTTCTGCAGCAAGAGTTGTAGTTAGTTACAAGAAGGAGCTCCAGTAGAAAGGATATATATTAGAGACAGCCACACCCTGGCGTAGGCCAGTTGAGTGGTAAGGAGTAACTCACGCGGATTTGTCAAGTAATCATCAACCGGTTAGTCATAATTAGGCCTTATATAAATATTGCATATAGATATAAAACGTCATCATGGTGTCTTCATCGTCTCTGCCCTGAGAATCCAGAAAGATACATAAAATCTTTACAACAATTGTTGACAAGACTTCAGTGAGTCTATATATTGTAATAAAATAAAAATTCCAAAATGGAGTCCGTAGTAGATGATGTTATTGTGCAATCTAAAACATTTGAATTTTGATATTTTAAATTAGCAGTTAGTCGATATAATTAGGGGCGTCGTTAAGGAGGGTACGGGGTTGGTGTACCCTCGACACTTTGCAACATTCTTGCAACAATTGTAACGTATTGACATTTCTGTAGTAGTTTAAATTTTAAAGTATGACACTAAAGTATGAATTTTGAAATAGAAACACAAAAAACAACATATAAGATTATCTTTCTTCTGACCACAACTCGAAGAGTTTGGTCTAGTGCGCCCCTTCTCGTTCTGGTGTGCTGATATTACCCAATCAGGAGCGAGTGTACAGATTTCTGTACGTTCAAAGGTCACAGCAAAACAATAAACTTAGCTCTGGTATAAAACATTGAACAGAACACAACATAAATAAATGCTAGCGACCGTAACGATTGAGTTTGAAGATGCTGTTAAAACTGTACTCAAAGAATATTTTCCGCATGTTGTGGAACTTAACACAGAACAGCATTGAAAGCCTTGTTTGTAGAGAAAAGAGACACCTTCGCCATATTGCCAACTGGCTTTGGAAAGTCTCTGATATTTCAGGCTGTGCCTCTCATGAAAAGATATTAGGCCTTGTAGTGAAATGCATTAAATAAGAAGCGCCGAAAACAAACAACACCAAACACAAGTAAATCAGTTATAACGGGGCTTCGGGGCTTAGCTTGTCGTATTGGCCTTTTTTGCTGTGATGAACTTCAAACGTGACGAATCAAACCGCCGCGGTGTCTAAGCACGCTGCCTTCACAGTGAGGAAGTAGACTTTGAAAGTACACATAAAATTTTTGAGGAAAATTACAAAATACTTATTTTAAGTTGTGTACGAAATTTAATAATGATTAACATTTAATAACTGCAATGTGCTAACTTTAATTTCATGCTTCGCACATGTTCTTTGCTGCCAAATGGCGTTTTAAACCTGATTTGATTGAAATCTTGAGGCAGAAAAGTCTATTATCACTGTATTAATAATGTCAACTTTACAGAACTATATAAAATACATTTGCTTTAAAATTTCACAAAACTTCTCTGACTACTGAGTTTCTTTGTTATTTATCTGACAGTCTTGTTTCACAGGCCTAGTCTGTTAAATAGACTTCAGTTCTTTCAAGTAACTTCACCAGAACGAGAATGGGGCGCACTAGACCAGACTCTCTATTATTTTATATAGTGAGTCTGGTACTCAGGGTACAATCCCGTATGATGTTGTCTTCATTTTTGGCAACCGCAAATGATTTCCACTTTTCAGATTGTATTGAATATCTCTCTCAGTAAAAATGTTTTTCATAACTCTTGGATTTAGATTGTTTTTGGTTTTGAATATTTTAATCATTAGCTGATTGTGCTGATGAATAGTTCCATATTTTTTCTTTAACTCGGCTAGCACTGATTCACTATCTTTGCATACTTGTCATTGTTGCTCCTGGAGTAAAATTTGACAAGTAGTGTCACAAAAAGCAATACTTGGACATCTTCTTCTCTATATTTTCCTAAAAGATATCCTTTATATAATTTTGCTGATTACAACACGATATCTGTAACTGCAACAAATACTGATGCAACTTGTTAGAATTAACACTAATAAATGTTGTCTTCAGTCGCAAGTTGGGAACTCTCTAGACCTTCCTAAGGTCCTAACACTGCCAAATTCACATATTTAGTGGCTTAACTACAGGGGCGCGTACACAAGGGGGGCTGGAAGGGCAGATGCTAGATGACAACACCAGCACAAAAATGCAGAGAATGAAAAGTTTGTCTGTGATAAGGTCGGCCACATAGGGAGAGCAGCAAAAATAATAAATGATAAACAAAAGATGTGCTCCCTCAGAATACTCCAGGAACCTAAGGAAGATAAATCGGTATAAAAACTTAGCGGGCAATCAAAAATTTACAACCAGCCCATTTATAACATCCTTGATTTTTATAAAACCAAATATTGTGAATAGTGAGTGACAAAGCCATTTAATAACCATTTTCATTCATGGATAATTTCGTCAATATTTTCTTTATGTTTAGAATCTTTGTTGGAAAAAAACCCAGCTGTATGGGTGGCACATATTCAAGTTAATATTTTATGATATTACCCCACCCTTGCCCCCCCTCCCACCTAGGAATGCTCGATTATGTTAATAGAAAAATTCAATTATTTGCCTTCGGCACCAACACTGCCCCTCCTGCCCTGATCTTGTGCAGGCGTCCCTGGTTAACTAAGGGGAGAGGCTTTAGATACTGTTAAAGGGATAATACCCTCCGAACTAAATCAAAGTGATTGTCATGTGAATGTCATGTGACTCTACTTGACAAATGTCTTTTCAAAATGTTTTCTGAAAAAGACTCAAAAGAACTCCCGATCAAAGAAAATGTAAGAAAATGATATGTTTAACACTGCGAAGTAATTTTTCGTAAATAATGCATATTTCATTTTCCCGCCTTTTTCATCGCTGACGAATGGCGTCAGCTTTTACTCGGCCGTAGTAGTGAACAGCAGTAGACGTGAGCTTCCCATCGATCTTCAAGCCCTTAAAATATATTTATAAAGGTACCTGAGCGCAAAAGAAATTGTACAATTGCAGTTATTTTAAGAGAAAGATGGGCTGCATTTTCTCCAGGCCTTATTTTAAGGCTCAGTGATAACCAAAGTCCCAAAATGTGCCATTATAAATGGAAAATTGTGCAGTGAAAAATTAGTTGAAACAGCAACATAAAGAATTCATACGACAAAAAGTAACAAAAAATAAACAAACAGAGCATAACGGTAATAGTATGAAAAGCGAAGCAAACAAATCAACAGTTTCTACTGTATAATAGTTCACAGTTACTATGTTTTAAAAACGTTTTCTCCTATCCATTTCTGCGTCTTCTCTCTCCCTTTCTTCGATCGTTTCACTGCTCCAAAATACTTAATATGGACTTGATTGAGGCAGTATTGTGGAATTTAGCGATTTTTGGTTATCTTTGAGCATATTTTACACGTTTATTTTTTTGTGAGTAGTGGTAAAAACGTCCAAAATAGGCCTAAATCTAGCTTCGAAGCACGTTTGCTGTCATATCCTTGAATTCTGATTGGCTAACGGGCTATGGAGAATTTTGGTCGCTCAGCCAATCAAAGATTCGGAACCTATGCTGGGTTAATCTAATCTTTGTATTTCATTATAGTTCCTATTTCTGTCTGAACACAACACTGACCATCCACGAAAAATGCTATATTGTTCCCTTATCTGTGCTTCACCTTTCATTGGGAATTTTGTTTTGAGGCTGAAAGGGAATAGATTTTTGTAGCCAAGTTACTTGATGTCTTGCCAACGACGAGCGGTGAAAAGGAAAGGTGATTTTCATGGAATTTTAAGTTGTTAAAGCTATCTGAAAGTTGGTTCAAGATGAAAAAAACACAAATTGACATCAATGGCCGGCTCGAGGCGATTGGTTTTGGAAAATTCCAAATTATTTCATTAACCATTTTGTGCCTTAGGTACTTTTCGTATTCGTCTACATCAGGTGTTCTGGCGATATTGGAACCATATCTTCGTTGCCGTTGGAAATTGAGTTACATGACTGCAGCATGGCTTGTATTGCCTGAAGCTATCACTAAAATTGCTGGATCGATCTTACTTGGCAAATTATCAGATAGGTATGGCAGACGCGCGATGATGGTACTTGCCTTCATTTTTAATTCATATTTGACGTTACTTTATGCCTTGTCGTCAAATGTACTATTGATGTCCGTAATTCGAGGTTTTACTGGCCTTCTTTCTGCCAGCTCTTTGATTGCTTTTGTTTATGCAATGGAAATTTTGCCAGCCTCGGAACGCAAATATATGTCCCTGTTTCCATTCGCATATTGCGCTGGGTGTGGTTATAGCATCCTAGCCGCAATGGCTTCGTTCAAGTATCTAACATGGCGGTGGTTTGTCATCTTTGCAGAGACAATGCCAATGGCATTGTCAGCATTTGCCGTGTTTTTCCTGCCTGAATCTCCAAGATATTTGTTAGTTACCGGCAGGCAAGATGAAGCGGAAGCCTCACTACAAAAGATTGCCAAAATGAATGGTTTCAAGAAAGGGTATGAGCAGTTGGAAGAGGGTGATTCTAAAAATTGCGATATAACAAAGATTGGCGACAAAGAAGTCAAACCCGAAGAGCAGCCTTCGATGTCTGAGGTAACGAAAAGAATTGCTGCGGTTTCCTTTTTGCAATTTTACGTAAATGCTCTTGGAGAAACAATGCGTTTTGGCTCAATGCAGTTTGGGGAAAATTCCGATATTTCGGAGTGTAGAAAATGTTCGGAAAACCTGACGTACAAATATCGTTGGGCTGTGATGATCGCCCCTTTATTTTCTTTTGTTGCCGCTTACTTGTTTTTGGGAAAATCAACAAGAATGCGCACTTTTAAGGTTTTAATTTTCTACCTTGCTCTTTGCCTTATTCCATTTTACTGGGTTTTGCGTGGATGGTATCTCATGGTTGTGATGGTTCTTACTTCTATGGGTACATCGACGCTGAATGATGTCCTTGTAGTGTATAGAGCAGAAATCATTCCTACCTCCATGAGGGTCCTGGCTTGCGGGATTCCTGAAGCTTCTTCTCAGCTGGGTAGTTTATTTGGACAGATAGTTGTCCTTTATGTTCACCCTGTTAGCATTGAACTGTCATTTGGTATTTTACATTGTTTTACCGCATTCGGCTTTCTAGTTTTGTTTATTCGTCTTGTAGAGACAAGAAATAAGCCATTGGAGTAATTTATGTATGACCTATTTAGAAAAGTATGAATCACCGTAAATGACCAAAATATGCTTATTTAGTATTTCGGCCTAGATCGCAGGGAGCATGTTAAGGTTACGGTCACAGAATAGGAAATAGGCAGAAGGGCAAATCTCGTCGGTTCCTTTGTTGTTTTTTATGTCTGAGTCAACAATAGAATTCCTTAATTCCCCTTTAACCTCGATTTCATTAAACGAACTTGGCCATGACAAATGATCATTCATGATACATAATTGAATTTGTTCACTGTCATGGGGCATTTCGTCTCAAATAAAGTTGTCTACTTTCATTCATTTTTGAAATTTCCTCGACAGCTACATGCTTAGCCTCGTATAAGTTAACGCATGCGCAATTTTTTCAGGCTTCACCTGATAGGCAGGAGTTTCCCTTCTGCCTAATTCTTATTCTGTGTTACGGCAAACGTTTTTGACACAACATTTGTTTTTCTCTTCCTAAAAGCCAAACTATCAATGGAATCATTTAAAACTATACATCATTCGAGCACAAAAATGTGGTGATTCCAACCATAACAAAATAATTGGCAAATATTGTAAAATGATACTTTCCAGGCAAATTTATTGCTCAAGTGAGTGTACCACCTTCAAAAGCTATTTTGTACCCTTGCGTTCGAGGTATCAAAATCTGACATATATCAGCAGAAAACGCAGATCCTAAGCTACCAAATTTTGTCTCAAATTTTTTAAATTCCAAAATTAAGAAAATTAAGAAAAAAATGTAATAATACTGGGAGGGCCCACCGGGCAATCGCCGGGTAGCCCGACCGGCCAGTCCGCCCCTGATATGAAAACGGAGACATTTGAAAACGGAGTAATGGAAACGTAGCCTGATTGCACTTGCCAGCTACACCCGTTAAGTTAAACCACAGTGTAATCTGGGTCAAGTCACTTGAAGCTTGTTTATCAATAGGCCGGTTTAGACAACGCCGTACATGGGATACATGGATGTGTCATACGATGTTGTAAATGAGACATGCGACCACAACCGCAAATCAACGATAATCGGCTTAACAGGTCAAGAGATTTTCAGAACTCAATTAAAAGTTTTGATAAAGAAATTATCGAAACCTTCTTCGTTTCCATGAGATTTTTTCTATTTTTAAAATGTCTGTTAGTTTCAAATTCGGTATCATTGGGTGCCTTGAATGTTGGGCGACCTGAATGTGAAATAATCGAAAAATTGATGTTTGTATCCAGAAAACGGTTACCGTAACCTTATTGCTGACATTGGAAAGTTTTAAAAATAACTCTCGGTAGCGCACCCAGGGTGGTAAGATTGGGGGGCAAAGGCGAGTCGAGCGTGGATGAGAAGAGGGTCTAAGCCCTTTGGAAAGCTAGAGAACGCACCTTTTCAATTATATTTTACAATTTGGGGTGGGGGTAGGGCATCCACCCCCACTTCCATCCCCCTCGCTATGCTGCTGCTTACTGTCGAATCCGGAATAAACATATCCCCATTTTAATTATTTTTCGAAAAAAATCAACAATTTTGGGGGTTTCCAATTCGCTGCCATGCTTAACAATTTATTAAATGGATTCAAGCGCTTATGTTAATCATGTATGAGTTACTGTTTTGGTATTTTGTTTTCGTTGTTTTAGCTGGTATTGACTTTGGTAGTGAGGCACATTAACCGACTCATATACATTTGTAGTTGTAGATATTTGAGGTTTATCATTGGTTAACGTATATAATGTTCTAGTATCTAATTGGTTCTTTTTTGTTTGTTGTACCGAAAACGTAGTTAGTTGACCTTATTTAGAAATGGTATGATGTAAAAGGAATGTGATGCCAGACTGTAGGCAGATTGAGTAGAAACGAGCTTGAAGTAAAGATGTAACAAAATGAATGAAATTAAGAGCAGCTAACAGAAATCGGAAATCAGAGGTTTTTCTTCGTCGACTTCTACGAATGTCTATGAGATAGAAGATAAGGAATTTAGAAGGTTTATTAACAAACAATGACAACCTTATTCCAGACCCCTACGCCCTTCCCCAGTTTATTATTTCGCAAACATATATAAAAAAGGTACAAAAAAAAAGCTTGTCCTAGAGTGCACCCCGAGAACAGAAAGAAAGAGTTAAACAATTTGTTAAAACTGAACATCTTTATCATAATGTTATGCTATGGATGCTTTTTCTACTATGAGAAGCCAGCGTCTTGTTTATATTTCTTCTGTTTCCTATTTATAAGGATTTCTCCGCCGGTTTTCACCAGATCGTCCATTTTTTGGACTTGGGAAATTTTCCAGCCGCTTTTTTATCAAGACCCCCATCTATTACGGACTCGAGTATAAACTTTCTGAAGAGGCATATTCGGCAGGATGCATTTATTTGATCACTGCACTGTACACTCAATATATTCACTGTACTCAAAATAAGCATTGCTGTTCACTTTTGAGTTTTCTTTCATATTATTGAATGCTTTTGATCTAATTTCTTATGTTCCAGTCTTGAAACACCTTGAATATATCAGGGCCTAAAATAAGAGTGGATCTGACACACTTTGTTGAGTTGTAAATTAAAATTGTGAAACTGTAATTGTAGAAAGTGTGGATTTGTAAATAATGCATGTTCTTAAAAGTGCAACATAAAATACCAATCGAAACGCCTAAGAAAGAAATGGGAACATTTTTTCAATTCGAATTGAATGCCCAATCCCAGCCTTATGTATAGCATCATTTTCTATAAGAAAATTGCGATAAGAAATAAGCAATGGACAATAAAGAAGAAGTAAGAAACTTCAGAGCTCGAAGCTTCAGTACATGCGGAGAAAAATCAATTGCGCTTTATGATATTGTTGTGTCCTATTCTGAAGTAAGATGGACTCTGTATACAGCTTTGATTTCAAGACATCATCTCAATTTAGTTTGCTTTTATGATTTGCTTCAAAAAGGACACTGAGCCTAATAACCAAGACCGAGATTATGACCTCTTGCCCGTAATGTATTTTGGGGTTTATGTGATATCTTTCAGTAGATTTCAGAAAAAGCTATACAGCAATTCTACTAAGGTGTTTTAAATTGGAGAAGCATTGGAAAAATTCCTCTCAAGGCTACAGCAGCTGAACGATGATAAGCCTCTCGGTGGTAGCTGGGAGGAACGTTCAATTGGAAATGTTGCATAACAGGGACTATAGTCCTTCCCAACTTTCTTGCAATAATGGGTTAGAAAATGTTTTGAAAATTTACGCTAACGAACGCATTAGTAGCAGTTCTGCTGGGAACACGTTTTTGTTCTTTTCGATTGTGCTTTGTCTTGTGTGGTCAAAGATAAATTTGCATTTTATCTAACTCGGTTATGTATTTTTATGTTAATTGAAATCTTCTCTAAATCGTTATGTTCATGAATAAGGACAGATAGAAGCGAATATTTTCTGAAAGGAGTGTTTTCCAGTGTTTCAAAGGGCGTGGCCGTAAAAAGATTTAGAGGCAAGCCTCTTAGTCCCGTTCCAGCCACTCCATTATGGGTAGGTGCCAGTGTGACCTGATCTAGCGTAATATTAGAATAATAATGGCCAAAAATCGTCATTTAGCATAAATCTAGCATAATTTGGAATCTAGCATAATTCTGGCATAATTCTGATATTATTTAAAAGAATCGTTGTTTCCATTGATCCATTGTCTATCGTTACCAAATGGAAACACTTTACACCAGCAGCTGTGATTTCATTTAGGGGAAAATTGTGACTTTCCACCTACAGGATTTTGTCAGTTGTTTTAAATGGTTGGCAGCCACATATTTTGTAGTTGGCAGCCAAATGCAGCCAGCTAAACGCAGTATAAAAAAGGTAAATTTTTGCTAATTATTGGGAGTGATATCGTAATCAAAATTTGCTTTGTAGGTTACAAAAGTTTTCACTTGCTTTTATCAAAAATTGTCTGTTATCTTTTACTTTGTTTCATCATTCATCATTTGCAATTTTGAAATTATTTTAAAAAGTTTTGAATATTATCTGTGCAAAAATGTTTGTTTCCTTTCCATTTTCGTTGTTTTTTTAAACATGCAGCCAGAATTCAGCCAAATTTTGCTTCTTCGGCCGAATCAATTTGTGGCGGCCAAGAAGTTTTGAGAAACTGCCAAAATGGAAAAATTTGGCCATCAAACCATGAATCTAAATTGCCTTTTTGTTTATAAAGAATGAGTACACTGGGTTGTCAAAAAGGCCAAATTGCAACTCTGGCCACGCGTGGTTTCTGTATTACAAACAAGATGGGGCTAGAGGTCATGCTTTCAAGCTGGGCGAAAAGAGAATAAGAAGAAACAAGCACAATTTGTACATCAATGAGAGAAGAGTTTATTTGCCATCTGTAACGAGGTTTTCGTTTATAATATCAAAACTTTTTGAAGAACAGATTCGATGGCAAAGAATTTGATCAGCTGAATGCAGTTACGAACTTTCCATAAGTAAAAGAGACTTGAGAAAGCTTCACCCAGCTTTTGTCCCGGAAAAAATATTTCATTCAATCATGCATTAAATTTTGAGAAATAAACGACTAAGATCACAGAGATCTGAGACTTGTTCTCAGAGGAATTCTACCAGACGAGACAATGGCTCGGATTCTCGCAGCAAACCCTAATCCTATCGATGTAGAGATGCTGATTCCCACCTACAACAAGATAGAGGCAGGTGGGGAAAGCAGCATAGCTCCAGAAAAACTTAATAAATAGATAAATATTGCAATGAAATATGCTTGACCTCGCAAGTTTCGAGTTCCGAGAAAAGCTGCGAAGATATGGCTCCCAAAAAACACAAAGTCTGGCAAGTAAGGCTGATTTAAGGGAGTTTTTGAAGGTGAAAGGAAATAAAAAATAACTTTGACAGAGATCCGAACAAACCATGTAAAAGAGTTTCCTTTCGATAACTTTTTGCTCACATATTAAGACATAGCTATATGTAGCTAATTTTCTTATTAACCCAATCCATATATTGTAAAGAATCAGCTTTTGCTACTTATACTTCATTCATTTAAGAATTTGCCCAATTAAGACATGCTATTTGCACTATGATGGCATTTTCTATATTTGGCACGCCCATCCCAACAAAGTACCACGCCCAATTTTTATAAAAAGTGTGGATCTGTAAAAATTTCTTATTTTAGGCCCTGATATATAGACATGACTAGGTACGCCAATGAGATTTTGGAGTCCTTGGGACAAATTCGAAGACGAGCCAAACCTTGAAGACGAGACGTTAATTTTATTCTTTGCTGTTATTCTCAATGTTCACGAAATTAAGAGGACTGTCCTTAGATTAGTAAGATTTTCTTGAGTGATAAAAATATTATACAATATTTTTAAAAAAATTGTACTTTGAGTTTATTCTAATACCAACAAAGAGACATTGGTAGATATAGGAAGCTCATGTCAGCATCGAGATTGTGGAGAAAATGTTAAATAATTTCTTTGTGCATAAAAAGAATTTTGTCTTATTTATTTTAGTTTAGGTAGCTCACATATTAGGTACCATGGCATGCCATTGGGAACTCCGCTTACAGCCAACTTAGTATGGGTTTTACCTTACCAGATCATATATTTTGCATCAATACAATTTCCATTGTCACAATGGGATTGTGCCATGGTAAGTGCTCAGATATGAATTTTTAAAGATTCATGCTATAAAGCGCCACAACCAGACCGACCTATTCTACTATGGATTGTACAGAATGTAATAGGTCAGGTTTTGTTGTTTTCAATATCAATTTCTGACAGTGATGTTGAAAATTAATATGGGAGAAAATAAGGAAACATTCCTGTGCCTTAGACTGCAAGCACAAGACTGTTTGTCTTGTTTCTGTGACAACTTTAAAAACATTAATATATATTTATATATATTTAAATATATATGTATAGAAATTTGTCTGTTGATAGTTCCGTAGCACAGTGCTCAATACATTTGCACATAGAGAGTAATATAGCACAGAGTTGGAGAAAATAAAACTATAGGTTTTATTTCTACAAGCCTGTTTGGTGAATAACTCACTATTCAGGAGATGTGAGTTACATATAGTGAGTTACATGATGTAAGGATATATATATATATATACCCAGAACGAAGAAACATCTATCTACCCAATATAAATTGCTTGCTAGTCCCAGGTATAAAGCATGTAATAAAAAACAATTACTTGGCCCAATATGAGCTTCTAAAGACTTGAATAATTTTCCTTTATTTCTTAAAAACTATAAACTTTGTAAATCATATTTGCTCATTACATTCTTTTATTCTGTCAAAGATATTCTATAATCCTCAGGAATGCAATCTAAAAGTCCTTTGGATTCAAGCCATTTCTTACTGAACAAGCGAGTAAAGTATCTTTGTCCAGTGTCACAAAGACAGGTAACAATAGTGTGGCCCGGACCAAGCTCCTTGGCAAGATCTACAGCAGCAGCAACATTTAGGCCAGATGACGCACCAACAAAGAATCCTTCATTGTGCAGAAGCTCAAATGTCATTCTAACTGATTTTGTATCTTCCATGTGCAAGGCAAAGTCTATTGGTGCACCTTCAACATTGTTAGTAACCCTACCTTGTCCAATCCCTTCTGTAATTGAGCCAGAACCGGTCCTCTCAATTTTCCCAGTAGTAAAATAGGAGTATAACACACTTCCTTGTGGATCAGCACAAACTACTTTTATATCTGGGTTCCTCTCTTTCAGAAACATACCAGAACCTGCTAATGTCCCACCAGTACCAGTACCAAATACAACAGCATCCACTTTGCCATTTGTTTGTTCCCATATTTCTGGACCAGTTGTTTCATAATGTGCCCTTCTGTTGGCTCTGTTATCAAACTGATTGGTCCAGGCTGCATTATCTGTTGCCTCAGCATATGCCATAGCTAGCTTGTTAAAATTTCGTGGATCATCAAATGGGGCACGTGGAACAGGTCTGACATCAGCACCAAGAACTTCAAGGGCATCAATTTTTTCTTGAGATTGGTCGTCAGGAATGAAAATGACACATTTGTAACCCAAAGCAAGGCACATGTGTGCTAATCCTATGCCAGTGTTCCCTGCAGTCCCTTCGACGATTGTACCTCCTGGACCAACTAGGGCTTTTTCTTCAGCGTCCTTTATCAAATACAAAGCAGCTCTGTCTTTCACTGAGCCACCTGGGTTCAGATATTCTGCCTTGGCCATAATATTGCAGCCAGTTTCAGCACTGAGTTTCTCCAGCTTAATGAGCGGCGTATTCCCCACTGTTCCTTTGAACCCGTTAAAGACATTACTTTTAATAATACCATCGCTTTTATCTCTACGCTGTTCAATCTTAGGAAGAACGGTGCAACCTCTCTGCACTCCTATTGCATTCTTCCATGGGATGACCCTCCCGCAACTTCTCAGAGACGCCATTCTCGATGACTGCTCCTTGAACTTTGGAAACCATTTGAGACAAACGGACATACGGGAACGAGGCACTTTAAATAGGGGATCCAATGAAATGTAAACAATGTAAACATGTCTTTTCAGCGACAAGACGACGCCAAGTGGGGGCCCATTGTCCATAGACGTAGGACTCGGGGGGGGGGGAACAGGGGTACGTCACCACATCTTGTCCGAAACAGATATAGAGTGACTACTATCTCACGGGAGTGCCCGTCCCCACTTTCAAAATGCTTATTGCGTCCAAGTTTGGAGAACCAGAGCACCAAACAAAACAACAGAAGGTGTAAATATCAACAACCAGAGATTTCAACTCTTACAACTAACAATTTCCTGGGGACAAACCCCGAAACCTTTCATTGGTTTCACCATCTTGATCAAATTTTGCAAGCCCCTTTGGCCAATTCAGATATTTGTAAATTTCAAAAACTGATACACAAGAAACTTTTCTTCACAAAAGCAGAAAAAACATTTCAAAACAAGCAAGAAAGCAAAAATATAAGGATGCACGCACCCCTTTTATAATATTACCTTATTTTCGCTGAGTCTCGATGTTCTAAATTTTTTATATAGAGCCTACGATTATTCTTGAATTATTCTTAAGCGACACAAGGCCAGGCCAGCCACTTCTTATTTCAAAACATATAGCAGGAAAATGCTTTCCAAAAAAGAAAACAAAACAAAACAAAAAAAGCTGTGTAGCACTATTCTTAAATTTCAGAGAATTTTCATGAGACATATAAGGCTGAAATGAGATAGCTCGCATAGCTCTTTTCTGTAACTTTGTGACGGGATCAAGAGATTGTGGGTTTGTCCCTATGCTGTAATTCATACTGATTGAAAGACATGAATAAAACATTATATAGATGAAAGATAATGAATAAAGATAAGAAAGAACAAATTGTTCTTTTTATCTTTTTTCTTTATCTTGAACAATTGATGGCAGAAAGGGTCTAATTTTGAAAAGATCCCACAGGTTTAAGCTTGTTTTTTGAAACTCAATAAGGAGTCAAATAATTTAACAAGCTTGACCCTGTTGATGAAGACTACATACATTGAGTCGTGGAAAGGGCGTTATAGACACTTAACACTGCACTAATCGCTCACTTTGAATAAAACAAATTTTTCAGAAAGAAAGGAGAGAGACGAGAGAGTAAGGAAGATGAATGTATCTAATAGAATATTAAATGCGTATAAATTTATAGAGCCCACCCTGTCGCTGCATTTGTATGTACTGTTAAAACCTGTTCTAGGAATTCCAAAAAAACATCTATTGACAAAACTATTGTTGGTACCAACTTCCATAGTCAGGGTACTGGTACCAATGCTTTTGGTACCAGGTTCTACAATTTTTTTCGAAATTTGGAACCAGGTGCCACCCCTGGGAACAATGGTACCACTAGGGCTGACCGCGGAAGCAGGGAGCTGAGGGGACTATAGCCCCCAAATAATTTCGAGAATGTACTTAAAACCATACAAAAGGTCGCCCTGCTCTTAATTTCTAGCATCTTTAGCCCCCCCCCCCCTTCCCTAAACGGTTTAGCCCCCTCAATCTGTAATAAGATCCGCGTTCCTCAAGGTTGCCAAGTTTTGGAAAATAATACCTGTGAGATTTCAAGAGCGCAGCTAGTGAACAATGGAACTGGAATCCAGGGATGGGAGCAAAAGAATTCCGAATTTCAGTAGATTTAGAGTGCTCAAAGAGCAGAATGCCTAAACATTTGTTTATTTCAAATTTAAAACATTCAAGAAAAACACAGAGGCTTTTCAACGTAAGAATATACAATCGACAGGGACAGACTTAGCGGGGGTTGTAGGGGGTGCTACACCCCCCCCCACTATTTCTGTCTCCTTCGGTAAATTTGGTTCCATTCGATAAAAACCTTTTTTGGTAGTCAGCAGTAACAAATCAACGCCAAGATTTTACTTTATTTATCTCCTTAATATCAGTATTTATCTCCTTATCAGTAGCGTAGCGGAGGGAGGCAAGGGGAGCGGCCGCTCAGAAAGTCGGTGTCTGAGAAAAGTACAAATCTGCAATAGAATTAGTACCTTAAAGGGGGACTTTATATTTCAGACAATATTAAAACGTTTTTATAGACTGCAAATGGCTGTAAGAAATATTATGAAATGTATTTCAAACTAATCTGAAAGGCGTCGTCACAAAAATTTTCTGCTCCCTTCGCTCGCAAAGGGACCCTCCTTTAAAAGTTTACAGAACGTTCAACAATTTATCCCACGTTATAGGAATTTAGACAGAAAAGTCTTTCTCGTCCTTTAGACAATCCCGATAAAATAGAAACTAAAATGCTAAAGCGCTTAAATCCTTAAAAAATTGGGTTCTGAAATGCTTGTCGGGGATTTTGCTCCAAGGAGAACGGAATTAGTTTAAAACATTTGAGTCCTGTTTGTTATTTTTAGACATTTGATTAAAACTGTGGAGAATCAGTTTTTACACGTAGTGCTTCCTCGCCTTACACAATTCAGAATGTAAGCGTTAGATGAATTGTCAATGAAATAGGCAGTTGTAGAATGGGGTCAGCCACAAAAAGCCAGATATGACGTTGTATAAAACGAAATTGCCACGTAAAAAAACCATAGCTTTTCCAAACGCTTTTGCAAAATGGGATGTTTTCCTAAATTCTTAAGGGTGTGGTCAGCAAAAATTTTCTCCTGTTTGCCCCTCCAATCTTCCAAACCTGGCTACGCCACTGCTCATTATCGTCTTTACCTTAAAATTAAAAACGGAATTTTAAAAATGGGCGTTTCCATAATTTACCAGTGACCTGAAGCGTGTGGCACCAAAATTAGCGTCTAACACCCCCCCCCCCCAATTCATTGTTGCTTAGATCCGCCAATGACAATCGAAGCTATGAACAATTATAATGTAAAATGTATAATACTGATACATTAACGCGTTTGACAGTCATTCGTGCAACAGGTCTGGCAAGTGATTGTCATAAACAATGTAATGGAATGGAATGTGTTCAGCAACCACTGATCTGAATTGGCGTTTGATCTGAATTGAAAGAAGAATGAGGCCCAGGAAGAAATCCGTGAGAAAAGTAACTCCCGTCGTGAGACTGCGAGAAGAGGTGAATATCCGTGACTCTCACGGCCAAACCGTGCGACATGGCAACCTTAGGCCCTTGCAGTGGCGGATTTAGGAGGGGGGCAACTAGGGGCAGTTGCCCCTCCCTTGCTGAGTTGAAGCAAGTCTGCCGCCACTTTTTGGAAATTGTGTGCCCTTTTTGAAGAAAGAGAATCACGTGAAAAAGTTCTGAGACTTCAAGGATTTCCTCAAAGTATTTTGAAAAATGTCCTTACAAAGTAAATACAGCGTACACTCGTCATCAATTTCTGAAAATTTTTCAGCGCCCCCACTACCAACTGCCCCTTCTTCAAATTTGCTCTGGATCTGCTCCTGGGCCCTTGGGTACAACTTCTCTATCACTCCCCTCGAAGTAGCTGCTGCTGTTCTTATGCTGCTTTTATCCTATTAATTACATATCTCTGATCCTGTGCAAGGACCTGGGTCATTGAAAATATTAGCCCCAGCCAAAGCCAAAGTGGTCTGTTTGCTTGACCAGATGATTAACTTTATAGTAAAGAAATCCATTCATTCATAGCTGGTTTCTATTAAAGTTTAGCAGCTCGTTACCTTTAGGATTTCAGACAGTCTTTTGCAAAGAAAACAATTAAAATGTCAAAGGTTGAACGTTCTAAAGGGATCTTCAAGTGATGGTAGTTAAAAAACAAGTCCTGTCCTGAAGAAAGGTTGATGATTTCTGCTCGATGGCCTAGATAGAGAGCTGCGAAATGAGATGGCGATACACCAATGCTATGCTCACACTCTTGAAAAGTGATATTTGAAATTTTGATGAGATAAGAAGGAAGTCGTTCTACTGTAGAAGAAAATAAGAAAGCAAAGCAGTGAATTAATAGTTTATCTAGAATAAGAAATGGGGTAGCATGACTTTACTTCCGTTACACACTAAGGAATTGTTGACCAACTGAAGATTTACCAACCAACTCATGAAAAGTTGAGGGTGCCACACCCTCTTTCCCCGCACTAGCTATGCCTCTGAGAATAAGTATGAAAATATCTTGAGAAGGCTGTTACATAGTAAATGGCAGGTCAAAGCTTTTCCATCAAGTGAAAAATTTCAACCCATCGGAAAGCACAATGGCCGAGATGACTTTTTGAGTGCCAGGTAAGCAAAAAGTTGATTTTGATATTGAGCTAATAAAATAAGAGATCCCTTTCAATAGGAGGTCAATTCAATTCAAATTCAATAAAAAAATCTACAGGTGTTGTAGTTAGCAAAAGAGTAGCTAAATTACATTTGGCATGACCATTTCATTCATGGGAACTGCCGAAAAACTCCCTGTTGTGTCAAAATTAATGTTATGCCCATACATCAAAAGGAATTTGCATCTGGAATTAAACCTTGTCTGCTATTAAAGCCCTGGCAAAACGACTAAATATTTTGCCATATATTTCACTAAACTTCACTCAACCTTTTTTGAACAGCGAGCTAGCTACGACGCTGTTGGGTTGTAGGGGATCTTGCATAGGAATTGCTTTTGGTTTATTTTGCTGCATGCACAAGCAGTGGATAAAAATAAGAATCGGGTGAAGCGACGGGGAAAGAAAAGACTTCTTAGCATATTGACGAAAAATTTGACTGTTGAAGAAGAAAAAGTGGCGTACAACGAGATATTCAGATGTCTCATAAAGGCTTTATGGGTCACGTAGAGACAAGAAAACCAACGAAACAGACGAAAATCTTTGAATTTCCACAGCCACAGATCAGGTTTTTGGAGCCATTAATATTTGATGTCGTTGGAAATCTGTAACTTTCAAAGATCCAGACTCGAGGGGCAAATCATTCTTTGAAAATCTCGTACACCTTTTGTGAAATTTCTATTGTTTTGTCTCAAAATCGCTGAAAATCCTTTTCAGGGCCGTCGCTAATCACTTTCACTTAGGAGGGTGCCAGTCACAAATTTGCCGATAAAAAAGGGTGTGGCCTAAGGTATTTCAATTTTTGGGTGTGGTATTTTGACGCAATTGATTTTGTTTATCAAAGAGTATGTTCTCGTTAGTCAATCATCGCCTCAATTTTTGAGTGACTGTGGGTACTTAGTTTGCATGAGTAGATCTTACTAATAAGACCGCCAAGTGGTTTCGAAGGCCTTGAAAGAAACCCGAAAGAAGAGGCCCCTGCGAGCAGAGCGAGAAGAAATTTTTGCGACCACGCCCTTTAGATTGTCTTAAAATGCATTTCAGAATATTTCTTGCAGTCATTTCTCGCAATCGTCTAAGGCTTTTAACTATTTTTAGGCATACTTCTTTTACGTTTCATTGATTTCATTCTTAAAATGGAGTTCATTACTAGTTGAGGCCCCATCAACCTCAAGGCCTTGAGGCACTTTGCCCCCTTGCTCCCCTCAGCAGCCCTGCTTACAGTGGCTTCCAGTACTTCCAAGATCAACGTTTAGAGTTTTCAATAAACTTTGTCCCCAAACTTTAGGTAGAAATTAGGTCGCCTTGGATATTGGACATTAGATTCTAGACTCCGGCTGTCGACAGGGAGTCATTTGAAATTTTTGGTGGACATTTGCCCCTCCGTGACACCCATAATGCCATCTGTACCTATTTTGAATTGCTGAAGGTTTTTGGGTGATACTTCTTCGGACTTATCCTCATCTTATCCAAAAATTTTGTTAAAGCTATCGCATTGAGAACTTCGAAAGTAAAACCCGACAAAACTCTACCTATTTTGAATTGCTGAAGGTTTTTGGGTGATACTTCTTCGGACTTATCCTCATCTTATCCAAAAATTTTGTTAAAGCTATCGCATTGAGAACTTCGAAAGTAAAACCCGACAAAACTCTACTTTTAGAAAACTTGCCGACAAGAATTTTCTAGGGGGACGGCCCTGATCCTTTTGTTCTAGAGAAACTTTCGTACGCTATTTGCTATTTGCAAGAGTGAATTGCCCCTCGTCCAGACTTTTCAAACTTTGATATTCCATCATTCAAATGTTTTAAACTATGCATTTTATAAGCCATTGACACACGTTTATGGAAATTTGAATGCTAAAAGACGCTAACCTTTGGGCAAAAACTGGGCAGCAAGTCATAGCAAAACCATGGTCAAATTTCAACTAAGGAAAAAATTTGCGTCAAAACTTTGAACGAGGAACAAAAATGTATGTGCATTATTTAGAGACACTATCAAATTGAAATATTTTTGTCAGCTTAATATTAGAACTTAAAACACTGAATAAAATTTTCGAGATTGATAGCTCACGAAAGTTGCAAACAGAAACTGGAATAAAAGCAAAAATCTAACGCCTATGAAAGAAAAGAATTCAACAAAGCAATTTCCGGTAACTGCATTGAAGAAGTATAAAAAACCATAGAGAAAATCTTGCGTTAAACGTGCAAACATTAAAGCAATGAAAAATAGCCCCTTCCACCAGGGGTGGCGCCAAAAATCTTCCGATAGAGGGGCTGGAGCTTCCGACAGGGGGGCTAAAACGAATAAAATAAGCAGTTTTCGTACGTTATTTTGTCAAAATTGCTGCGACAATAACCTAAAATTTCCTCCGATGGGGGGGGGGCTAGATGCTTTCCACGGAGGGGCTGTAGCCCCCCCTAGCCCTCCCCTGGCGCCACCACTGCCTTCCACATTTATTATATGTTCAAATATTAATGAACAGTTCTATGATATGTTTTACTTGTTAGGAGACAACTAGTTGAGTTTAAATTGCTCTATCATTTGAATCGTGATGACATGGTCGCATGTTATTGTAGATGGTTATCAGCGGTTTGTTTGGACGATATCCATGATGGCAACCCTTTACTATGGTATAGATTTTCCGTGCATGAGCAATTTCTTTTTAGTTTTCATGACTAGGTGAAAAATTTCATATGCACAAAGATTTTTTAATGGTTAATTCAACATAGAAAAACACCACAGAGGCAGGGAGGCCTACGGCGGCTTTAGCCCCCCTATGATTTCAAATATTATCTTTTCAAATATGCTTCTATTGTATGGTCAGTATCAGTGATTCTTTGGAGCAGGGCTCAGGGTACTAGGCCCACCTCGTTGATATTCAGGGAGATTTCGAAGAGGGGATGGTCAGCCCCCTTTACAAGCGGGTATATGCATGGCTGGACGAATTATCAGTTGGTAATATCAATGTGGTATAAACTTTTCGTGAATTGGTAATTATATATAATTTTTTTGAGTTGGTTGAATAGTTTGAATGATTTCGTATACACAACAGAGAACTATTAACATAATTGTTGATATTGGGTATGCTTGTGTGTGTGTGTGTGTGGCTTCTAGAAGTTGCTTATAGTACATTCCCTCCTAATTGTGGGACGCCACCCCTTGTTAGTGTGGATGTATGTTTGTATGAAGATGTTGAAAGTTATAAGAATAAGTGCCATTTTAGCATCTATATTTTGATTTAAAACTAGCCCGAAAGAATGAGCATAAACGTCGCATGGAAGAGGAAATACATTATAGCCCATTCTTCCATGTCGCATTATAGCCCATTCAAGTGCCATACTGGTTTTCGATGACTCTGCATTCGTCCATTCAAGGATTATCATAGTCCTCACGGGACACACTGTTTGATAAGTACCCCAGAATTCAGTTTGAATGACATGTTGAAAGAGATCGACAGTCTGTTTTTAACGTGGTGAGATTTGCTCGAATAAAAGCAGTAAATGAGCAAGAACAAATGAAGGTAATTTCTTTAAAGATTTTAGGGTTGTTTGAGCTTCTTTAGATATAATTGGAGACGATTGTTTGAGTCTTCGTTAGTATGACATGATTGCCATATTGTAAACGTTTATAATGCTGCCTTACAAACTGCGCGTTATTAAAAGTCTGATTTCTACCTGAATGCAAAAATGGGTCCATTTTTGTTCATGTAGGCAAATACAAGAAGAATCTAGAACTCTGATATTCGGTTTCGAGAGACCATTTTTAAATATGTATGTGCATATGAAAAGGTTATTTATCGGAAATTTTCTGCAGCCTATACCTGTACGATTATATTCGGATACAGGTTTATCTGATTTCAGAAACAAATCAATAGACAGTAGGTTTTTCTCACCTGTAATGGTTACTTTGGCTAAAGATTTTCCAACCATGAAGATACGTAAACTCGGGATACTGAAAAATTCTTTATTTGGCTGTCAAAGCTGATTCTGTAGCCTGAAAATGCAAGGAGAATCCAAATTTTACTTCTAGTTGTCTTCTAGTTGATCAAATGAACAAACCGGTAGGAAAAGCGAAGATTAAAGAGGTACTAACTCCGCAATTATATTCAACTGAGACAAGGCTTCAAAAGCTTTTCAATGAGCACAATGTCTATAATACTAAGGTTGAGATAGCATGCACCAGAGTTGAAATTACTGGGTTTGGTGGCTGATTTTTCAGGCCTTGATAGTTAGAAAAAGTACCCGTTCGGAAAGCATAACCAAACAACATGGTGAAAAGCAGAAGTAGGTTTTTTGACGAAAGATACTGTTAAGTGACAATAACAAACTTTTTAAGTTTTCTGTTTATATGACTGATCAATCGATTTAATACGTACCCCAATTGCACCCGTACGTACCCCATACGTACCCGTACGAAGTTTCAGGCACTGTCAGGCGGCACCCCAATTGCGGTTTTTAAGGTTTTTGAGAAACATCAACACGACTCTTCCGTTATTGGTCTGGGAGAGTTAAGAGCATTTCCCTTTTGGGTAGAGAGAAAGAGAGAGTTAGAAAGATTTTGCTTGAAGCGAAAAAGGATAATAGATGAAGCACTGGCAAGGATGCCTACGCCAGGCAGCAGAGGCAAAAACACTGTTTTGCCTTATTCGTGGCGCTTTGCCCCCGTTGTCCCCTTCGAGTGCAGGCTTATCAGAGCGCTGGTACTTGTTTCTAACTTTTCCTCTTTTTCTTGTCATATTACTCTCTTTGGAGAGTTTAATGAAAGTCGTAATATTTCAGTTGTAGGGTGTTTGTCTAGCAATGAAAGACGACGCGATAATGCGTTAGTGCCTATTTTACCTTAGGGCAAGTTTTGGTATACTTATTGACCCTGTCCATTCAAATGAATTTTGCCATGACTTTTTCTCTAAAGCTGCGAAATGATTACAAAATCAAACAACGTAAAGGAGGTGAAAGGGGCCTAAAGCCAAGTGGCAACATATTGCGGAATAAAGCATAGGACCTTATATCCTTTGACAAACAGGTGATTTCCTTAATGTTTCTGGAGTAGTGCAGAGAAAGTGATTTCCATTGTGATGTTTACATAAACGGTCATGACAAAAGGCTGGGGATAAATGCTGGTGGTCAAAACTTGATAGTTCAGTTTTGGGGGCCTTTTGCCTATTATAGTTAACCTGTGCTCCAGATTCCAGAAAAGTTGTTAACCTTCCTCCAGACAAAAACATTCCAGAAGGCAAAACTTCCTTACAAAACAATAGAAAGTGGACGTGGCTTGGGTGTGTCATAGGAGCTTCTGATGTTTTTCGTGGACTTTCCTCCGGTTTCGTGCGACCGTAATGTTTTCCTGACTCTGCTGTGTTCCAGACCCCTAAATGAAAGTAGAGGTCTGAAGCAAAGGCTAACATTAGGCGTAGGTTAAAAGCTTGACGGCCCCGAACCTATTTCTACGTGTGGCCTACGCAAGGCCTTCAATGTATGGAGCCCTAAGTTCATTGCCCCCCCCCCCTCCACTTTGTGCAAAACAATAGAGCTATTTCTAAATATCTTTTGTTAACATTGTTAAATTTGCCCATGCTACAGGTTCGGCACTAGATTTTCCGCGAATTGCGGCTTCCCATTAGATGCGCCTTTCCTCTTTCGGTGAATATTGGCTCACTACGCTTGCGGATTGCAACTTTGGCTTTTCTTACTCGTTCTTGCGTCTTAGGTCGCTCATAATAGACCTATAATAGTTTTGAAGGAACAAAGGAAGAAGACGGTAAAAAAGGAGGAAAAAACAATTTTCCTTGTTTTATGATTTCGACAAAAAAGACAAAAAACTCCAGAAAAGGTTTATTTGATAGGATCTCTAGGTTATGATTTGAAACTCTAAAAAAGTCACCAATTGTTAAAGAGCACCTCTCGAACGGACACCTATTGTTGACGGACACGTGATTATTATAAAAGATTAATGCCCTTTATATTCTTGTTTTACGTATTTTGGATTTGAAATAGTGAACCCGTTCAACAGAATTTGCTCGGGCTTTTTCGATAGATTTAGACACATCCACAAAGCCTTGCGCATTGTAGAACCCTCTTTATGACGAGTTCCTTTAAAATCGTCATTTACTTTGATGCCTTTCTCTATTCGCTTAGCACGGGACTTTGATGGACTCGTGCTGCTTAAAATAACATATAGAGAGTGAAAATTGCGACCCATTCTATAATCTAGACTATAAATTCAAGTTTCATTTTTTCAGTAAACTCTGAATCCATCGAAAGATCTATCAAAAAGTTTAATTCTTCTAGTAGATCCAAACATGTGTTGTTTGCAAAGTAGAGCTTTAAAATTGGGTCCTTTCGGGATGAAGCTAATACGTCGACGTTATGACAGTTGAAAGCCAACTCCAAATGTTTCAATCGTGTATGAATAAAGAGCGGAATCCACCAGAAGATGAACAATTGTCTCAATTTTGTTTCAGCCTAGCAGTACAAGGGAGTCAGGATTTGATGTATGCTGTGCTGTGACGCAACACCATTTGTGAGTCTAGAAGCAGCCACAGTTGGTGAAATACAAGAACCCCAAAACAGTCGATGCATCAACTTGTAAGGAAGAACGTCCAGGAGAGAACCAAGTAAGTTTGTTTGACTTTATTTATTGAACCGTCAATTGGCTGCGTTTTCCTATTTATATCCGCTTGCTAAACCTGACTGGTTCGCCGAGAAGACACTATGGAAGCTGCAAAGGTAACTTATATTCTACCCCTAGGCTACTAAGACAGTAGCATTGCAAAGGGAGTTATGGGGGCTGATTTGCACCCACTTTGGCAAAACATAGCTATTCGTATATTTTAGGCATTGAGTAAGGGCCTATAAGAATTTTTCATATCTATTTATTAAAGCAAATAGCAGGTTTTAAAATCTTGTAAAAGGCAGCATTCCTTTAACGCCAAACGGGTGCAGCCTCAGATGGATTCCCAAAAGATCCACCCACAGAAAGAACAACATTGAAAGACTTTTAAGAAGCCTGAACCTGCAGGCTCCGCTCAAAAGAGCCAATTTATATGTGAGTTTGCAAGGGATTCTGTACCATGCAAAAATTCCTGCCATTCGAGAAGTGATAAATTGATATTGTTATATTTCTGTTTATTTTGCTAGGCTGGATGACGTGGCAATAATTTCAGAAGAAGATAGTCAACTGCTTTGCTGGAAGTAGCGACAACAGACATGTCTTGCAAGATACTGAATGTGCTGATCTTCTTGGAAATACTTCATGTATGTAGTAACTTACCAGCTACTTCTTTAACATTCTAGATCTAGATCATCGTTCTATTTAGTGAATTTAGATGTTACATGAACATATCAAAGGGGTACATGCCTACCTATGCAGCACCAGCTTTTAAGTGGACATGTATTGTGATGAGGGTGAAGCAAATAAACTGTATATTATTAATATGGTGCTAATGCAATTCAGATTGGAAATATTAAAGTGACGTTGCCATTGAAAAGATATAGAGGATCCTGAGATGGGATCAATCCTGCAAGACATTATGTTAGCCTTGATGCTTCTTCGCGTCACTTCAGCAAAGAGGTAGAAGTCTCTGGCGTAACCATTTACAGCAGTATCCGTTTACCACTAGCCACAGGTATGACGTCATCATCAAATTATCCTATACACTAATCTTGGTATTTATATTTGAATCGGTTTTTTTCTAATATTTCCAGGGTTTGGTGAACGGTAAAGCAAAGGTGACACTTCGGCTGAAAAAGTTTGTCAATACAAATGACAAGCTCTGGGAAGGGAGCAGCTGTGATGGCCTATTTGGTGGCGCATGTGAAAATGAATTTGAAATCTGTGTCAAAGGCTTTCCTCCTCTGCCGAGTTCTTTCAGCAGCTGTATGTATTACAAAAAGACGTCATCTTTTACCGGAACTACAGTTGATTTTGAGGGAATTTCGACTGGGATAGACAGAGACATTGTCCTCAACTTCGACACATATTCGGTAAGAGCTCACTAGTATATTTAAGTTTGTCTACTACATCAATTAATTATGTGTATTCTGAGCATCTCGAAGTATTTAGGAATGACAGAAGAGGGAGCCTTTCAGAATTTTTTGGAATTAGAATGAATTATATGAAATTTCTAAAAATAGAACCGTGGAACCTTCTGATCCATTACAATGTATAAAACGGGGATACATGGGATGCAAATTAGTTGTCTATGGATTTTTTAAAATGCTTGCATTGAAATTCACATAATACTCCAGACAAGCAGAATATCTGCTACGTTTCCAAACGATGTTCAACATTGATGTGTGACCTTTGTAATTAGGGCCCTTTTTGGTCAAGCAATTTACATGTTTATATACGCAACCAGGAACGGAGGCATGAGATGCGCATTTAAGTGCTTTGCTTCTCCCCTCCAAATTTTGTCTGAAGCACAAGTATATAAACCATATACACATTCAACACGTCATTGGGCTTTCTGATCATATTGTCAAAGTTAGAAAAACTGTACTGGGGAGAAAGCGGAAAACGCAATCTTATTCCCACGTTTAGATTTGCTGAAAGTGACACAGCACAAGGATATTGACATGCTTGTGTAAGGATATTCTTGCCTTTTTTGTTAACTGAGTGTAATACATGGTTTGAGTACAGGAAAAGTGCCTAAAGATGTTGAAAAGCTCATCAAAAACAGAATTGTTTGTCAATTTTCCGGGCCTGTACCTCAAACCTCCCTGGGTCCTTATAATGCAAACAAACCTTCCTGGATTTATTCTGGCTTGTTTGTATCATCTTTATGGAAAACTGCATCCTTTCAAAAGTCCACGATATGCTACTGCATGCTGCTCCAAAGTTAAAGAGTTAGATTTATCCATTCTTTCTGTTAATATATTTAACTTTGTTACAGGGTATGGGATTCTTCATGAAGATTATGGATTACGACAGCTTTAGCTCCCGGGACCATGTTGATGATCATGCTTACGGGGAGGCGTTCGTACCTGGTTTTAATGGTCAAGTCTTGAAGTACACACGAATGTCCCAAGGAAGAAGACCTAGCTCAAAGTCAACACTCAGTTTCACTGTTCAAGCTTCGTGTCTTCAATATTATTACGATAATACATGTAGCACGTATTGCAAGCCTGCGGATGACAGCACAGGCCACTACACTTGCAATGCAACTGGGAACCGTGTATGTCGAAGCAACTGGTACCAATTACCAAATTGTCTGAAATACTGCGCTCCTCAGGATGATGACACGAGTGGGCATTACACATGCGATAGTGGAGGAGATCGCATCTGCCGGCCTAAATGGTACAATTTACCTATGTGCAAGACGTTTTGTGAAGCACAAGATGATGACGCGAATGGTCACTACACATGTGACTCATCAGGTCAACATTTGTGCCGTCCAAATTGGCACAGATTACCCAAATGTGACATTTATTGCAAAGCAAGTAATGATTCTATAAATGGTTACTATTCTTGCTCTAACAACGGAACACGTATTTGCCACAAAAACTGGTACAATCACCCAAAATGTGACAAATATTGTATTCTAAAAAATGACACTGACGGGCATTACAGTTGTGCAGACAATGGAACTCATGTATGTCTACCAAACTATTATAATGCCCCCAATTGCACAAAATATTGTAAACAAAATAACGATAGCATTACTGGTCATTATACTTGCGACAATAATGGCGTCAGAGTGTGCAGACCAGGTTGGTTTAAGGCTCCAAATTGTACTAGGCATTGTATTCCCCAAGATGATGATATAAACGGTCATTTTACTTGCAGAAATGATGGAGAAAAGATTTGTAGAACTAACTGGTTTAAGAAGCCCGAATGCAATGTGTACTGCGAGTCTAAGAACGATACAATTGACGGCCATTATAAGTGCGATGAGAATGGATCACGTGTTTGTTTGCCAGGTTGGCACAATACGCCAAACTGTACAGATCATTGTGTTCCCCGAGATGAAGACTATGGCCACTATATTTGTACGAAAAATGGGACTCGAGAGTGTAGAGAAGGTTGGTATACAGAGCCTAACTGTACAGTCTATTGTGTCCCAAAAAACGACGATATTAACGGACACTATCGTTGCTCTTCTAATGGATCACGTGCTTGCATGCCCGGCTGGTACAATGCGCCAAACTGTACAGATCATTGTGTTCCCCGTGATGATGACTATGGTCATTATATTTGTACGACAAATGGAACTCGAGAGTGTAGAGAAGGTTGGTATACAGAGCCTAACTGTACAGTCTATTGTGTCCCAAAAAACGACGATATTAACGGACACTATGATTGCTCTTCTAATGGATCCCGTGTTTGCATGCCCGGCTGGTACAATGCGCCAAACTGTACAGATCATTGTGTTCCCCGTGATGATGACTATGGTCATTATATTTGTACGACAAATGGAACTCGAGAGTGTAGAGAAGGTTGGTATACAGAGCCTAACTGTACAGTCTATTGTGTCCCAAAAAACGACGATATTAACGGACACTATGATTGCTCTTCTAATGGATCCCGTGTTTGCATGCCCGGCTGGTACAATGCGCCAAACTGTACAGATCATTGTGTTCCCCGTGATGATGACTATGGTCATTATATTTGTACGACAAATGGAACTCGAGAGTGTAGAGAAGGTTGGTATACAGAGCCTAATTGTACAGTCTATTGTGTCCCAAAAAACGACGATATTAACGGACACTATCGTTGCTCTTCTAATGGATCACGTGCTTGCATGCCCGGCTGGTACAATCAACCATACTGCAATGTTTCATGTGTTCCACAAGATGACGAAATCAGTGGACACTACAACTGCTCCAGAGAAGGCGAGCGTGTATGCAAAGAAAACTGGTATATTCTTCCAAACTGCACAAAATTTTGCAAACAAGAATCTGGTCTGATTGGAAACTACTATTGTGCAACCGACGGCTCTCGAGTTTGCAATAAAAACTGGTACAACCTTCCAAACTGTACCAATTTCTGCAGGCCACGTAATGATTCTGGTGGCCATTACACCTGTTCCACTAATGGTACAATAATTTGTAATCGAAATTGGCACGGTCCAACTTGCGACAGGTATTGCGAGAATCAAAACGATGACTTTGGGCACTATACTTGTCACAGAAATGGCTCACGCGTTTGCAACAAAAATTGGTTCAATCTTCCAAACTGCACAGTTTATTGTGATTCTCGTAATGATACGTATGGTCATTACTTCTGCGATAGTAATGGGGGACGTGTTTGTGCCAAAAACTGGTATATACAACCAAATTGTACTCGTTACTGTGCTGAGAGTGACGTCTTGCATTATAACTGCACGAGTTTGGGGGAGAAAGTTTGTCACTCTGGTTGGTATAACAAAGGGGAAGAAACATGTTCAACATTTTGCTGGCCACAGCAGAGTAACAGCTCCGGTCATTATAACTGTAGTTCTAGTGGCAAAAAAGTTTGTTTACAAGACTGGTATGGTGAAAATTGCACGGTGTATTGTAAGCCTAGTGATGATGATGCACGGGGCCACTTTGTGTGTCTATCTTCTGGAGAAAAGAAGTGCATGCTGAATTATTATGGCAAAGATTGTAAAGCTTTTTGCATCGCTAAAGACGATTTAGCAGGCCACTATACATGTAACTTGACAAGTGGAGAGAAACTATGTATGTCTTCTTGGTCGGGGAGGTATTGCAATGAGACAAGCTTATCCAAGTCAAGTAGAATAGGCGATTTTCCTTCGACAGAGCTCACGAAAATGTCGTCAAGTTCTTTTCCTCGCGTTTACACAGTAATTGCTGCAAGTTATGTCGACATCTTGACTGCAACGCAATATACATTACAAACTAGTTATAGTCAAAGCTCTTCTTTATTTGCTGAAGATACCAGCACTGTCCAATTCATTCCTGTAACCAGCACTTTGAAGCTGATGACTGTCCTTAGCCTTTCAACAAAGAGTTCTGCAAGATTGACGTCAGGCAACATTACTTCAGCTAGCACCCCAATCACATCCTCAACCAAAGGCTTTAATACACACATATACCCAAGTACAACAGCTTTATCATCAATCATAAAAAGAGCCACCACTGAAACTGAAGTACCAAACAAAAAGACTACTGCCACTGCTCCTAAAAGTTCGAATTACTTTGTATCCCCAACCCCTAGCTCCGAATTCTCACAGTCTACGTCTGTGATTGTTTCACCGACTACGACTGCTGACGTAGCAAAAGGAAAGGGATCCGACACCTTGGAATGGTTAACAAAATCGAATGAAGGCATAGCAGTGATGTCTGGCAGTGGAGCAGTGCTCGTAATTCTGATTCTTCTCATTGTCGCACTCTACTTCTATGCAAGGTTTGTTACTTGAAAGATTAAAAGCCTTCTCTTATATTGCTGGGAGAGGGCCATAACATAAATCTCTTATAACGAATGAGCCATCAAATTATATTCGAGCCTACATATCCTACATACAAAATTGTTCTTCTATATAACTAAAAAATTATACCACGGGAAGCGAAGTACTTGTCCACCCCCCGAGACAATTACATAAAGATAGAGACAAAAACTAACTTAATATACACGACAGATACTACAACAGGAACACCAGAGTTTGGAAACTCCTACCAAAGTGTGCCATCATTTTGTTTTGTGCCACAACCTTGATTTGACATCATACTTCAGACAGTTATTGCCCACCAAACTGCCCCTTCCAGGCTCCAGCTATCATTGTGGTAGTTTTAATTTACAGAGAGTGCCTGCGCAGTGCTCCTGGCAAAAAGTGGGGCCTGTAGCCCCCCACATAGCCCCCTACCCCCCATAACCCCCTACCCCCTACAACCCCCCATAACCTCCGCCCCTTCTCCGCAGTGCCTGATCTCAATCGAAGGTTCCTTAATTGTTGGGTTTATCCATAAAATCACTTTCAGAATAGAAAGGTGGCAAATTGATAACCTAGCAGCAATTGAAACATTGGTTGGAAAGGGCAGAAACTTAAGCATGAGGACCACAACGAACAGCATAATGAGTTTAATTTTTCAAAAAGAGAGAAACGACAGATAGAAGCTTACGTAAGATAGAAACTCTCCTTTGCATTATTTCTATACTCTTCCAAACGTGCTATTAATCATTAATCGAATTGATGATCAAATTGTACTTTCAACGATCATTAGAAGAGCCAGGTTGACTGTACTTTGACAAAAGTGACAAAAAGTGACAACACGTAAACCCATTCACAATTACCCTCTATACATCTCTTTTTGTATTTTTATAAATCTCCAAAACGCTAAATATTCTAGAAATATAAATTTTTGAATTTATGGCCATCGGAAAATGTTTGCAGTAAAAACATTATTGTAGACAGCCAAGAAAGGATATATTGTAGACAGAAATGAAGGATATCTTATATTTGATGTTCATGTTTAGTATTAGTTGTTAATCAAAGTCACATTTTTGGCTAGTAATGTAGTTATTGCGCTCAAAACTATCATGAATCTTGTGCGCACTTAATCTTTTTTTCAAACAGTACTCCCTAAATCTTTGATCTAAACTGGCTATCCCTAAGGAGTGATCTGAAGATATAGCCTTTACCTTTAGTACTACTGTATCGTTATTTGTAAATATCAATTGGTAACAACCATGTCTGTCGAGCTTCCAATGATATTATCATTGCAACTTTGTTTTTGTTAATGTACTTTCTTAGACTTCGGATAAATTTGTTGGCACAATGCCCTATTTACTGTTAAAGAGATTGACCATGTTAAAAATGGATTTTTCTACCTGCTATGCTAAAAAAGTCTTCTGTTGATTTCAAGTTTAATTTTATCATTGCTATTTCATGCTTTCTATTTTAGGCCTGTAAAAAGGCCCAACAGAGGAAAGTCTGGGCGAATACAAAGCATACCTTTCATTAACTTAGAGACGGTGGACAAGAAGAAGCGAAATTCGTAAGTTGCTTCTCTCTAATCAATACTTTTTCCATAATTGAATCTTTCTATTGTGAACTATTTGTAATGATTTTTCAGTGGTAAGGGTCGCGGACAATAGATCGAAGGGTCTGTGGTTGAATCCACAGACATAACCAAACATTCATCTGGAGTGAGAAGAGTCGCCGTTTTTGGTATAAATAAGTAAGGAACCCCGAGGTGTAGTTACATCAAGAAAGAGGACCAGCCCCCCCCCCCCTGATAAACATAGCTTCTCAGTGTCCTAAAACTACCTTAGACGATAGGTAATAACAATTACAACAGCTTTAGAATCGCCAGTGCAAATGCAAGAAAATGCATCAGGCAATCTGAGACAAAGGGGGCTTTTATGGCATATTACCAAATTCTACAATCACAAATGCTTGGGATTAATCGTACTTATGACGTTATTTTGATAGAAATTCAGAGAATTAAACTTAAGATATCAACAAATCTATCAACATCGATGGTGGGTGCAAAGTAAACATAAAAACCCAACCTGAACCCCATACAGTCCAATGGTTTATTTAAAAAAGCAGCCCGGCCTTTGTGTGGTTGCGCGTAATTTACTGAATCAAAGCCAATCAGAAAATTCTGCTCTTGTGACCAAATCTTAGCTTAAAGGTATTAAAAGAAGAAAAGACCAACATGCATGGCTATGAATTAAACGTAAAGAGGTATATGAGGACATAGAATAAATTTTCTAAATTTCATTTGCTTCCTTCACAAAAAATGTTTCAATACAGCTGCGGCGCCAGTTACCTGCTTGTTTGGGGGGGGGGGCAATTCAAAAAATTTTTAGACCACGCCCTATTTACTATCAAAAACGCTTTTTGTCCACATTTAACGCTAGTTTAGCTGATAATAAACAGAAAGAAATTATGGGAATTTTACCAAATGATTTCGTTTTACTAAGATGTAAGCATTAGCTAAGTTTAATCAGAATATTGTGGAATCATCCTTGATATGCAGTAAAAACTGATAAGTCAAAGGAAATTAGAGAGACTTTTAAAATTGTGATGGTAATAGTTTTGATACCATTTTTAATTTATGGATAAGAGCAGATTGTGACAATAAATAAAACAAGCTAGGCTAAGAAACGTAATTTGAGTGCATGTTTCCTACGTCTATGTTAGTTTACGTACACAAGTATTGTGATGTAATTTCAAATTCAATTCAATTCTATTCTCTACTATTCTAATCTATTCTATTCTATTCCATTTCTATTCTATTCTATTCTATTCTATTCTATTCCATTTCTATTCTATTCTATTCTATTCTATTCCATTTCTATTCTATTCTATTCTATTCCATTTCTATTCCATTTCTATTCCATTTCTATTCTATTCTATTCTATTCTATTCCATTTCTATTCTATTCTATTCTATTCTATTCTATTCTATTCTATTCTATTCTATTCTATTCTATTCTATTCTATTCTATTCTATTCTATTTTAGTTAGTCATGTTAAAAATCTTTTCTGAATTTTCTTTGCTTATAATTTAGGATGACAGGAGAGGAAGCAAATAAGCTATGCGATTTTGCTAGCATCGATGATGTATGTATGGATGAAAAGCAGCCAATGAGCTTTAAAAACACCCTTTATAATGAACAACTGGCCTTGGCTCCAGCAGGATCTCCTAGTTTTTCAACAGCAAGAGTTATTGGAATGACCAAGGGTGGTAAGAACAAGCAAAGCGTGACAAAGATTTCAGTAAGAAGTGGCTCCTTGAGTGGATATCAAAACCCAATTACAAACGATGCCTACAGGGACAGCAACTTTTAATACAGTGCTCACTAAAGAAGCTTGTATATAGCTAGCTTTTAATTCTAGTTACTTGATATATGATGCAGTTTTATGATGCTTTTTGTAATAAACAGAGGGTATGTATGATAGATTTTTAGGCAACGGGGAACCGCTCAAGGGGGCTTTGAAGTACCTGGAGATGCTTGCTTAGAAATGTTTCTACAAAATAATAACCTTTTGTCATAGATTATTATAGATAACAATATCAAATTAAACTACCAACCAATAAATTAATATTATGATATGGTAATTACTGAAAACATGAATTTAACGATCAATCTACAAACTATCATTCAATTATTGAATAAAGGTTTTTCACAAAATCTTTTGCATCTTCATTATGACATAATGACGAAAACGTCATGAGTAATGGACAAAAACTACTACCCGACTTTTGACATATCAGGATTATTAAGGAGTCTCCGAAATGCACAAGCAAAGTTACAAATACATATCCTATCCTAAAAGGCGTAGCTCGCGGGGATGTCGTTGGTGTGATGCCCCCAAATTACATCTAGGGGAAATGTTAAGATCTTGTTGGGGAGACGAGCATGATAAAGTTTTTTAATAAGCGAGGCAACTGAACGTCTTGGAGTCAGAGAGCATGCGCACGGAACGAAGTTATTATTACGCATGCTCTCTGACTCCAGGACGGAGGGTTGCCTCACTCATTTGAAGATTTTCGCTCGCTCATCCCCAACAAGATCAGGATTATATAAACTGTAATTTCTTTATTAGTTTCTTTATTAACACCTTGCAAAAATAACATTTAATAAAATATCTAATATTAGCTTATTTTCTTTGTTTGACATTCAGAAGTGAAATTGTAATTAAAATCTAGCAGGTCTAGGTAAATTTTTTAAATTCTTTTCCATGCAATAAAACAGTGATTTTTTCCAATTTGTATTTGAATCAAATATAATTTTAATGGCGTAGATATTTTGGTTTTTTATGCAAAAAACGTGTCATCTTGTTTCAAGTTATTTTTCTCTGTTAGTTTATCGGAAATTTCAAACCAGAGCCAAATTCTATCGTTGATATAGATTTGTTTAACTAAAGTTCATATTGCGATCCCTACCCCTAGCTTATTTGCTACAGTTCCCTTCCCCCAGTTCTCGGCAAGATCGATTCTGTATTTCGTCTAAATTCTATGGTTAGAGGAGAAAAGATTAGGGGAGGGGTAATATCTTGGTAATGTATTTTTTGTGATGTAATCCTATGATCTTGAAACTGCCTTATGAAGCCAAAAGTTTGTCATGGGCTTTCCTTATTTGCAAAATTGCTATTCTTTGTTGGTAAACGGGCCTTTTCTTACATTAAGAAAGTCGTTGCCTAAAATATTTTGTTTTGAACCATTTTAAGAAGGCAAGATCCTTAATACTCAACGTCTGCAAATCTTTAAAATATAATGACTACACGATTCCATATGTTTTTTTGTATTGGCGTCAGTTCTTTCAGGAGAAAGGGAACCTTTATGAAAGATAGGAAAAAGAAGGCTACCATTTATAGAAGAAGAAAAATGATAAAATAAAATAAATGGGAATGTAATCAACTCAAAACGTTACTTTACTATAAACTATATACTTAAAGATCTAGCCATTAGCCAAGCGATATTGAAAAGCATTTAGAGCCGAAGCAGCTTCAACTGATCACATTACAACTGATCTCATTTTAGCGGCTCGTCTTTAGTCTCTATGACAGCAGTGAGGGTTACTAGAAGTCCAATAATGGTGACGGCTCCAGGATGGGCGCTTATTCGAGGGGGGTGCTTAATCGAGTGGACGCTTATTTAAAATATAGATTTGGAGGTGACTAAAAAAATGAATGTGTTTTCAATTGAAGCATGTTATTATGATGGAAAGGCAAAAAATAAGAATGAAAACTAAAACAAACTGTGTTGGTCATTCAATCTTTCTTGGTGAATTGCCTTTCAATTATGTTGGGCTTTGTAGGGCTCGGCAGAGCATTTTATTTCTTATATTACAGCTACTCGGCTAAATTAGTTTTGATCTTTTTTAATGTAATAAGGTAATTTCCTGTCAGCATTTTACTTCTTATAAAACTGCCCAGCATATTGCGAAATGCATAAAACAGTTAACTTATCAATCTATAGTTAAAAATTTCATGTGAGAAAATTATTTTTTAACTGTGAATTTCTTGTGACCAATGGTTACACGGGTACGGGAAAAATATTACCCTGAGTAGCTGTAATATACGTGACTTATTGCAAATTGCAATGATATTTGACAAGCAGGGGCAGACATTTGTTCAATCTAGGAAACTGTGATTGCTCCTTTCTTCTATCTATCTATCTCTTTCTCTCACTCTTTGTATATAGTTGTTGTTGTTGTTGTTGTTGTTGTTGTTGTTGTTGTTGTTGTTGTGACTGCACTTTTGATTAGAAGAACACTCTTGATTACGAATTCGAAAGGCACGACATGAACTATATCTCAAAGAACTCTCGATAGATGTGAACGCTATTCAAAACGAAAGAAGATCGATAGAACGATTCACATAAAGAACAGTGTTTAGATAAAGTAATAAATCAAGATTTTATTGGACCGAGGTGACTTCGTTAAAATTCTTACGTTAATTCTTCTCTCTGGACGTTCATTCTTCTCTCTGGTTGATGATTTACGTTTGTTTATATCGCTATATACGCTGATATTAATACTTTATCGTACCTTTTAATTCGAATAAGAAATTATACAGTCCTCTGACTTTGATATAGAACTTGATCTTCAAGACGAATGAACCTATAATGTAATTCTAACCTGCCTATTAAATAGATTTTGACTATTTACATCTTAAGGCTGATTTCCACTAGGCGAATTCTTTCGCGCGAATCGAATTTTTGCCAATGTGAGCATGCGTGGTGTCATGTTTTCAGATTTCGCAGCGAAAAAGTTCGATTCGCAGAAAGTAGATCACGGTCCTACTCTATCGCTACGAAAATTTATTCGATTCGCGCGAAAGAATTCGCCTAGTGGAAATCGGCCTTTAGTAGTGAATCCTGGCAGGTAGATTCTATATTCGAAAACTGTGGGGCAAGCCTATTGTTTCGGTAAGATGACGGCTTACTTAGCCATTGTTTTAGAATAACAGACCAATGCCCTCCAGAATATTGGGGGTGACTGCCCCCCCCCTCCCCAGCTCTCTGCCACTGGTGACAAGCTTTCAATATCTGAGCTAGAAACGTTTTAACTTCGTTTTTCTTGAATTTTTAAAGTGATGCACAGTCAAACTCTGGATACCATGGTATCTTGATATGAATAAGAAATACTTTATTTTCTTACTCTATTGATGTCTATAAATTGAATTTACTCTAAAAAGGGATCCCAAAAGAAACCTCAAGGAAAGTTACTTTATAAATCAACTCTTAGATTTTGCTTTAGTCTGATAACAGTAGAGTATGCATGCAGGCTATATCTATATAGTCAAAGACTATATAGTCATAACTGGAAATAAAAATACCCGTGCATGCTAATGTTTTCAAGAGAGAGACTCACTTTGTCACTGGCAGGTGTCTCTACCCCCAATAACGTTTTTGATAACCAGGAAATAACCAGGAAAAAAACAGGTACCAACTTAAAAGTAATTTTAATCTAAACAGATCAAGTCCTGACTACTCGGTTCTTGTTTATGATAACGCTACAACTTGGGTCATTTTAGCTGATCGTGTTTCGTCTCTATAATAACAGTGATGGCTGCCAGAAAAGCAATTGCAGTGAAGCAATGCAAAATGCCAAATGACAGATAGACACTTTTGTGATATACATAAACTGCTATAAACTGTCCAAACACCAAACCAATCTGACCGCAGGCCTCCGAAATCCCGCATCCAAACGCCCTTATCGATGTTGGTAAGAGTTCTGCCCGGTAAACAAAGACAACGATGTTCATACTACAAAAAGATATAGAGAAAAGGACGGTCGCAAAGACAAGAGGCCATCCACGGATATTCCAGTAAAAAGGTATCAGGCTACCTGCAATGTATATGAAATACATGATGAATGACATTTTTCTTGTAACTTTGTTCAAAAGCCAATATGTAGGAAACGAGGAACAAAGCGCTGCAAAAACCATTGCCCATCGATATTTGTATGCCAGGCCCTTAGAGCACATTCCGCATCCTGAAAGATCAGAATTCTCACCAAACTGCATGGATCCAAATCGCATTGTCCCAGCAAGCAAATTTCCATAAAACTGTAAAAACGAAACCAAAGCTATCCTTTTCACAATTTCAATATTTGAGAGATTTTTTTGCTGATTGCTATCCTCATGGTCAGGCACTTCTGTGTTGATTTCACCAGAATCTTTCTGTAGCAACGGTTTATACCCATCATTTATGACATTTATTTTTGCAATCCTTTGCAGAGTGTCTTTTGCTTCATCGTCTTTTCCTACAGACAATAAATATCTCGGGGATTCAGGCAAGAAACCCACTGCGAAAGCCGCTAACGCAATGGGAATAGTCTCTGCAAAGACACCAAACCATTGCCATGTTAAGTTCTCCAACGAAACCATGCTGACTAGAATACTATATCCACTTCCAGCACAAAATGCGAATTCAAATAAAGACATGTACTTGCGTTTTGAAACAGGCAGAATTTCCATTATGTAGGTGAACGCAATCACTACATTTGAAGACACCAATCCAATGATTGCTCGAATCGCGGACATCAGCAGCATGTTTGAAGACAACAAATAAAGTAATGTTAAATAAGAATTGAAAGTAAAGGCCAGTAACATTATCTTTCTTCTTCCGTACCTGTCTGACAATTTACCAAGAATGATCGAGCCGGCAATGTTTGTGATTGCTTCGGGAAGGGCAAGCCAGGCTGCAGTAAAGTATCTCAAATTCCACTGACATCGAAGATATGGTTCTAGTATTATCAAGAAACCTGACGACGAAGCAAATGAAAATGGTCGGAGGCCAATAACAAGTAATGCAAGGACATGGAATCGTCCAAAACCAATTTTCTCCAGCCACTGATTGATATCAAAGGAGCTGCTCGCCATTTTCTTCTACCTCCTGTGCCTATCTGTATGTCTTCACTGCAGTAGCCTGCCTGCAGACTCTTGAATTGAATTGCAAATGTTATTTAAATATTGTTGTTGGCTAAACATTTGCAATTCAAGAGTCTGCGGGCAGGCTACACTGCAGTCATGCAAATCAAATCTTTTTAATCCACTTTCATCATAATTTAAAGGCTGGAATAACAGAATAGAAATGCCATTTCTATTCTGTGTTGGAATGCACTAGGCAGTCTTTCCCCTTTGTGGTTGGCTAATTCTAACTTGAAAGCCTTGCCTGAAAAGGGGGTCTTCCTCTGCCTTTTTTATTATCCAAAATTAGTTATGGTGGGTGAACACAAAAAAACGCCTAATCTTAATATCATTGAAACTGACTTGGACGCTTGACACAAACAAAATTCACAGCAAACCCTCGAAATTGCGCTATTGTGGTTCTTCTTTTTGATTGTTTCTATAGACACAGGCACAAAAGGGACACTGAGAACAACGGGGGAGATGCTGGTCGGCACTAGATCATAGTCAGCTAACTTATATGACGTCATACAAACTATAGCAACCTAATGAATGAGTGGTAGCATGACGTTATTGCATTCCAACAATTTGATGAAAAACTTTATTGGAAGCAGCATGAAATTAATTCCTATGACAACTGCCAATACCTCAGCTCAGTCAATGTTCTGAACACTAAACTTTGGAAAATGAAGACTGACGCAATGCTTCTAAAAGGGCCTTTAGGCTTGATTACAGCAAATTTTGTCGCGGGAACACTTATTAAAACGCTTGATAATGTTCTTATGCGGCAAAACCAGTTATTTGAAATTTTAGCAACGGCTTCATACATGATTATCAATGTTAGGTACTCTAACTCAAGCGAAAACGTAAGAGAGAGTTTTCGTAGCTGCATACGCACAAAAACGAGTTCTTTAAATTCAACTGTAAAAAAGTGCTTCAAACGGCCTATTTGATGCTTTCGAGTAGAATAGACACTTTTTTCCGTTTTTCTCTGTTTCTGTGTGCTATGAATTGAAACCCTTGGAGAAAAAGCTAAACTCCAGCTTTAGCAGAAAATTCCCCGAACGAAGTAAGCAGAATATCTGGCAAACACGCCCCTGTAGGTTAAACAAACTACATTATGATTTCGCTGAAAATCGCTCAAGATTTCTACAGTGATGTTTAGTGATGTTGAATTGGGGTGTTAAAACGCTCTCAACAATTCGAACGAACAAAACGAACAACTTGCACTCTACAAATGTTGAGCGATGTTCAGTGAAATGTTGAGACCGTTTTAACGGGGCTTAAAACATCTACACTCTTTTTTTATAAGAACCAGTAAATTTAAGTTCAGGCTGACTGTTCTTAATTTTTTCGAAAATCTGAGGCTGGATTGTTCTTAATTTGTTCTTAAATTAAGAGGGTGTAAGCAGTGCTATTGCTAACTTTTTCGCTCTAAGGAGGTGTTCAGGCCTCATTTGCCAACAAAGTGGGTGAGACAGCCTTAATTTGCTGACAAGTTTGAATATTCACCGAAAAAGCACCCACACATCGCTAAAAATCCTCGATTTTGATAAAAAACGTTGTTCAAAATTGCATTTTGCAGAAGCTCAGACTCAGCTTGTTCTTAATTTATTCTTAACTTTTGACCAGTTTTGAGGCTCGTGTTCTTATAAAATTGTTCTTATAAAAAAAGAGTGTAACTGTTCTGCAAAGATGTATGACGTCATGTACGTTAGCTGACTATGAACAAGATAAAATAAGGAACTAGTTTCTTATTATATCTTGCTATGATCTAGTGCCGACCGGAGGTACTGCCTTTAATCCTCTTATAAATTCCTATCCAGGAGAAAGTTCTCTAATTAAGATCAGTAGTAACAAAGGAAAACTGTTTCACAGGGCCTAAAATAAGAAATTTTTACAGATCCACACTTTTTATAAAAATTGGGCGTGGTACTTTGCTGGGATTGGCCCAAAGGGCGTGGTAAATGTAGAGACTGCCATCATAGTGCAAATAGCATGTCCTCATTGGCAAGTTCTTTAAATGAATGAAGTATAAGTAACAAAAGCTGATTCTTTACAATATATGGATTGGGTTAATAAGAAAATTAGCTACATATAGCTATGTCTTAATATGTGAGCAAAAAGTTATCGAAAGGAAACTCTTTTACATGGTTTGTTCGGATCTCTGTCAAAGTTATTTTTTATTTCCTTTCACCTTCAAAAACTCCCTTAAATCAGCCTTACTTGCCAGACTTTAATGTTTTTTGGTTTTTGGGAGCCATATCTTTGCAGCTTCTCTCGGAACTCGAAACTTGCGAGGTCAACCTCGTTACAGATGGCAAATAAACTCTTCTCTCATTGATGTACAAATTGTGCTTGTTTCTTCTTATTCTCTTTTCGCCCAGCTTGAAAGCATGACCTCTACCCCCATCTTGTTTGTAATACAGAAACCACGCGTGGCCAGAGTTGCAATTTGGCCTTTTTGACAACCCAGTGTACTCATTCTTTATAAACAAAAAGGCAATTTAGATTCATGGTTTGATGGCCAAATTTCTCCATTTTGGCAGTTTCTCAAAACCCTTTGGCCGCCACAAATTGATTTGGCCGAAGAAGCAAAATTTGGCTGAATTCTGGCCGCATGAATGAATGATGAAGCAAAGTAAAAGATAACAGACAATTTTTGATAAAAGCAAGTGAAAACATTTGTAACCTACAAAGCAAATTTTGATTACGCTATCACTACCCACAAAAAGCAAAAATTTAGCTTTTTTGTATACTGCGTTTAGCTGGCTGCATTTGGCTGCCAACTACAAAATATGTGGCTGCCAACCATTCAAAACAACTGACAAAATCCTGAAGGTGGAAAGTCACAATTTACCCCTAAATGAAACCAGAAATCCTGGTGTAAAGTATTTCCATTTGGTAACGATAGACAATAGATCAATGGAAACAACGATTCTTTTAAATAATATCAGAATTATGCCAGAGTTTTGCTAGATTCCAAATTATGCTAGATTTTATGCTTAATGACGATTTTTGGCCAATATTATGCTAACATTACGCTAGATCAGGTCACACTGGCACCAGCCCATAATGGAGTGGCTGGAACGGGACTAAGAGGCTTGCCTCTAAATCTTTTTACGGCCACGCCCTTTGAAACACCGGAAAACACTCCTTTCAGAAAATATTCGCTTCTATCTGTCCTTATTCATGAACATAACGATTTAGAGAAGATTTCAATTAACATAAAAATACATAACCGAGTTAGATAAAATACAAATTTATCTTTGACCACACAAGACAAAGCACCATCAAAAAGAACAAAAACGTGTTCCCAGCAGAACTGCTACTAATGCGTTCGTTAGCGTAAATTTTCAAAACATTTTCTAACCCATTATTGCAAAAAAGTTGGGGAGGACTATAGTCCCTGTTATGCAACATTCCCGATTAAACGTTCCTCCTAGCTACCACCGCGAGGCTTATCATCGTTCAGCTGCTGTAGCCTTGAGAGGAATTTTTCCAATGCTTCTCCAATTTAAAACACCTTAGTAGAATTGCTTTATAGCTTTTTCTGAAATCTACTGAAAGATATCACATAAACCTCAACATACATTACGGGCAGGAGATCATAATCTCGGTCTTGGTCTTTAGGCTCAGTGTCCTTTTTGAAGCAAATCATAAAAGCAAACTAAATTGAGATGATGTCTTGAAATCAAAGCTGTATACAGAGTTCATCTTACTTCAAAATAGGACACAGCAATATCACAAAGCGCAATTGATTTTTTTCCGCATGTACTGAAGCTTCGAGCTCTGAAGTTTCTTAATTCTTCTTTATTGTCCATTGCTTATTTCTTATCGCAATTTTCTTATAGAAAATGATGCTATACATAAGGCTGGGATTGGACATTCACTTCGAATTGAAAAATGTTCCCATTTCTTTCTTAGGCGTTTCGATTGGTATTTTATGTTGCACTTTTAAGAACATGCATTATTTACAAATCCACACTTTCTATAATTACAGTTCCACAATTTTAATTTACAACTCCACAAAGTGTGTCAGATCCACGCTTTTTTATGCCCTGCTGTTTCACGGCTGAAAAAGAGGGGACTAGCTGTTTTGGAGCGTATCTGTTTCTCATTCAGCTTGACTAAAAAGTTAGCATCTAGTATATGTGTTATGGCAAAGTCGTTGTTTTTGCAAAATCCAATTAGTTTAGAAGTTATAAGGCTTTAAAGTTGCACCTTTCCGAGAAAAAAACGACAAAAGCCGAATCAGTTTGGTGACATTCTGACGTCACAATATGCGGCGCACGTTCGCCATGAATTTCGTATATCTTCCACCGAAACGTGAAGGATTCATGGTCACGCGTTGATAACTGCATCTAAATCTATAGCAGGAGCTTTTTAGGATCGAAAAATATAAAATGTTCACAATCATTCTAAGTCTGCGGGTCGGAATGTGTCCATGCTGTGTCACGACTTTGTTGTGATCACCTGTGTAGGCCCACAAAGCTATGGCTTCCTGTTCCAGCTCTTCCCTCGCGTATAATTAATCGAAATTGACACTTCAGTTGCTCTCCAGAAACGATGAACAACTAAAGGCTTCAGAATTGGTGTCTGAAATGCTCAAACTAAAAGCCGGTGGAATAGAACTGAGAGTACCATCACTTGCAGTGTTCAATTTGCAAATCGCCGTCGTTCGATTCGATTTGAGGCGAGACTAACGAAATGCACAGTGACGTCAAAATTGCGTCACAGTGTCACCAAACCGAAAAATTTTTGTCGGTTAATTCAATTCAATTATCGAAATACAAGAGCTTATATCTCACAAACTGTAAAAAATATCGAAAAACAAATAATGAATTCGTGATCAGCAGGTTCAACTCCTTTAGATTAGCCAATAAAATGCAGGTGCAAAATTTGGCTGGAGAGGCCCTTTAAGATACACCCTTACTTTTATAACCAGTGTTTTAATCCTGATTGACTTTTTTATAACACAAGCCCCCCCCCCCCCAATAATTTTCAAACTGTAGTATGTTTTCTTTATAACAGTGTACTGAATGAGAAGGAAAACAATGGGCAGCCTTGAACCTATACAATCGGATTTTCGAGCTATTCTTTGGAACTTGATCTGGGGCCTACCCGCGTTTCCCACCCCAAGAAGTTATCTTGTGAAAATATACAACACCATATTGGCGTGTTACATAACCACAATGTTTACAGGAGAATAGGTAATTAGGGCACGTGTGGTAAGCAAATCATTATGTTATCTTGCAAATTTCTGTGTGAGCTTTTTTGTTCCAAAAATACCAAAAACCCACTCAATGAGTTTTAACAAAGCATTCTTAACATATTGAAAGTTCAGCCAT